AGTTACCAGTGGCAAGGTTGAGTGTGCTTTGCTTCTGGCTCTGTTATTTAGAGGCTATATTTCCCAGAACACTTAGACCATCCTTCTTCTGCCACTCTCAACACCCAAGTGTGTGACTGTTGTTATAACTCTTTTTGGAAATTTTGTTGGGCCTACTTTCCCAGAAGCAGTGACAAAAATACTCTGACAAGACAAAATAAAATGGTGTGGCCTTGGATTAAGTGTGGCTTTGCTGAGGAACTGCATCAATGTAGAAGTGGGCCTTGAGGTCTCAGATGCTCAAGCTAGGCCTAGTGTGTCACTCACTTCCTGCTTGCTGCCTGCCCATCCTGACATTGAACTCTCAGCTCCTTCTCCAGCACCATGTCTACCTGCATGCTGCCACATTCCTGTCATGATGATAATGGACTAAGCTTCTGACACTGTGTAAGCCAGCCCCAGTTAAATGTTTTGCTTTATAAGAGTTTCCATGTTTGTGGTATCTATTCACAGCAATAGCAACCCTCATTAAGATACATCTTTAGCAAGGAAATGTTGACTTTGCCATGGAAATTGAGTTTGGAGCCCATAATTGAGAAGTAGTAGGTAGAGGCAGAAACTTAAGGGAGAGTGATATTGCAGCCAAAACCTAGAAGCAAAGAAAACTGAGTGAATGTCCTCCGTTGAGTTTTCTTCCTCTTAGATGGCTCAGGATCCCATCCAAGTGAATGATTGTACCTACAGGAAACAGGTCTTCCCAACATGACTTAATCTAAGGAAAATAAACCCCAGGGACATGCCTGGAGGACTCAGATCTCATTAGTTGACAGCTGAGATTAGGCATCATGGAGCCAGCAAAGTGTTAGTTTTACTTTTGAGTATTAACCTCTATCAGAGAGAGTTTATCTGGTAGGAAACAACTTTCTTTCCTCACAAGAACCTGTGGATACATATCTTACAGTGTGGGCCCAATGCTGCAGGAGAAGCAGGTCCTCTCCCTGGTTCTTCAGGTTTCTAACAGCACTTCCTCTTTTCCCTGTGAAGCACCTCTTTATGTAGAGTGCCTGAAATGCCAGGGTGACTTCTCATTCTGTCAGAACCCTATAGCTGCAGTGCCTTTGGAGCAAGGGCTTAATATATGACTTGTGATGGTTTGTATATGATCGACCCAGGGAGTGGCACTATCAGAAGGTGTGGCCCTGTTGGAGTAGGTGTGTCACTGTGGGTGTGGGCTTTAAGACCCTCATCCTAGCTGCCTGGAAGCAGTATTCTGCATGCAGCCTTCAGATAAAGATATAGAATTCCCTGATCCTCTTGCACCATGCCTGCCTGAATGCTGCCATGTTTCCACCTTACTGATAATGGGCTGAACCTCTGAACCTGTAAGCCAGCCCCAATTAAATATTGTCTTTTATAAGACTTGCATTGGTCATGGTATCTATTCACAGCAGTAAAACCCTAAGAGATGACTTTATGTAGTTTGTGTTCCTCGCCTCAGACTGACACGCAGGACTAGTGTTCTGACCTTCATCCTGGAGCCTCTGACCTAGGTAGTGATTGAAGTGAGATCTGAACTTTAGCAGACCCTTGACCCCTTTCAGGAATTTCTTGGTTTGGCCTCCAACATTGAGAACATGGATTTGGGAGTTCTAGTAAATTACACCTGTTCCCAAGACTGATGAACCATGGGTATGTCGACATCAATTCTCTTAGCACCTCTCTGGGCATAGGGCTATGTCTTTCCTCTGTGCTGTCAAGATTTGTATCTTTCACTTGTTACATACAGCTTTACCTGACTTGCCTATTTAGGAGAATGAGTTCATAATCTCAGAAATGTGCTTCCTGCAAGTATCTTCCCTGGAGCTTCTTCATTATGCTCAAGGCCTTTGCTCATCACAAGTATGTCAGCTTATCCTGCATCTTCTCATCGTTTAGCTGTGTTTGGCTCCACTGTGATAGTATTAGTATTACTCACTGCATACCCAAAGCTTCCTGCTTCTGTGTAGCATGTCTTACAGAGCCCCATGACCCAACCTCTATCCTCATACACCTCGTATCTCTCCTTACAGTTTCTTGCCTTTATCCTTCTACAGATGTTTCCTCCTGTTTTTCAAGTGCCACGTTGGCTAGACAATCTGTGCTAGACTATTCCTAGAATCCTGGAGGTTTAGTCCCACCAATTATCGTATTCCTGATACTGCATATGAGAATACATTGTCCATAGAATATAGCTTACCCTCTGGCATTCCCTCACCCTCATTCCAGAGAGCTCCTTTCTTTCTGTATTATCTCTTTCTCATCAAACTCACTGGGCAGATGAGAACACTAATAGAATAGAGTATAAAACCCTTCTTAGGGACAATATGACCAGAAATGAAGACATTCACATCTTAGCAGTTTATCCTTTATCTGGTGGACAAAACTAAGGGGCTCCTAGTGACTAGCGATGGCATGGCTATTGTGAACAGCAAAGATAGAGATGAACTCACTGTCATCCAGAATTTTTATAAACAGAGCAAGGCTATACACATTAGAAGACAAAGAAACCCAGAAAAAATTGCTCTAAACCATAGGGATAAGAAGAAGAAGAAGAAGGAATGACTGACAGGTGGCTATCACATTGGTCCCTATTGAAATCACCAGTGCTTTGATGCAATTTAGAGCAGTATCTGGTCTCGAACTTGACTCAGTGCTTCACTCTGTCTCCACCATTAGCTGTGGTCAAAGCAGCATCTCATGTACATGCATGGGAGGACAGAAATCCCACTGAGATATAGCTGTCCTTCTAGCCTGGTATGAAGGAAGACAAATTAAAGTACATTGACTTTTCTTTTAACATTTGTGTCATCTGTACATGTGTACTGCATGGCTTAGAAATATTTTAAACTTAAGATAAATATGCATACATAAATTGTAATTTATCTTTTACAGTTTATTTCCACAAAACTTGTATACAATATCATCAAAATATTAAACTGTCATTCACATACTTAGAAGCCATATATAGTGATTCCATCTGAAAGATTTGCAAACAAAAACAACACACCCTTTCAAATAGCTTTATGGTATTAACATCAGGGTAGTTAATGGCTCTGTGGGGAAGAACACTTGCTCGGAAAGCAATAGACCTGAGTTTGAATCCCCTCACACACATAAAAAAGCTGGACAGAGCTATTCATACTTGTAATCCTACACTTAATAGGCAGAGGCATTTCCGGTGTTTGCTGGCTGTCAGCCTAGCTCCAGATTCTATGAGAGAGCCTGCTTTAAAGAAAGGAGAATGATAGGTCATGTTATTCCATGCCCTCTTTTAACCTTCATGTCTCCTCTAAACTCCACGTGCACAGAGGCATATCCATGGTTTCCTTCAACTGAATCAATGCAATGCACATTTTGAAAGATTTATTTATCCTTTACACAAGAAGATTCTCAACAATGTAATCCACAGTTCTGGAATAAGCAGCAAGCAAACCATGCTTAATAATTAGATTGAGTCACATATACCAGCTTCATAAGCATCTTTACACACCAAGCAAAGATTCCTAGGGTAATTCCAAACAACCATGCATTGACATTCACTTCCTCTCCTTTCAGTGGTACCTGAAAATGCTGAGGCTGCACCTTCAGCAGGGGGACAGGGAGAGCCACCAGTGGGAACAATGAAGGTAATGTAGCTTTTCCTTTCTCTAATATAGAAAGGTTATATTATCCCCTTATATTATAGTGGATATATCATTTGATTAACAAATGACAAGTGTATCATGGGTATTAAAGGGTTTACTTAGAAAGAACAGGAAATGGAATTGTACCAGCTTGTTCCTGAACATTGTACAACTGAACATAGAAGCTTGCAGTGTCTTTTAGCACAGCTTATATGAGGAAACCATTTCTCCTGAAGAAAAAAGTTCCTCTTTAGATAAATGTACAATGTAACTCAGGTGATGACAACCACTTTTGGTTCCTCTAATGTTAATGAAGTCTGTGTATGTTCCACAGAGACCACTGTGAGGGAAGTTTCCAGTGGGTGGATGTTGAGTGGTAAGACATGAGTATTGGTGTAAATAATTGAGGCCCTGTATAGAAAGGATTAATCTGACAATCAGGTTATAAAGATGCTTAACCATGTTGCAGTATGGCTTTGGAAATGCTCAGAAGAGACTAAACAGTGTTATTTAATCTGGCCTTCGAGCCAGCAAAAGTTAGAAGTGGCCCAAACTATAGAGCCGCAGTTGTTCTGTGACACCCTCATATAACATACTCATATATAGGACTCTTGACCATTTTCATTGGCATCATACCATGTTGAGATGCATTCCAAAGACCCATGTGAACAGAATTCAGCATGGCCTTTGCCTCATACTGTTTCGTTTAAATTTCAGGTGGAGACTAAAAAACGTAGACACAGTATGTATTATAGAATCACTTAAGATGCATTTTAGAAAGGAATTGCATACACACTGGATATCCTTTTGACTAGAATACCTCTGTGCTCACCTACTGGGAAGAACTTGTATTCAGTTGTTTGTTTTTCTCTTAAGTATTACCTTAACCAACTAAGAAGAAAGGCTCTTTTTTTTGTGTGTTTTCATATCCATCTATATTTAGGCTTTATCTGTGATTTCTGTGATGGCCATTCAATGCCTAACTGATTGTTCACTACATGCAGTGATCCTCCTGAAACACCAGTCTCACTCTGATGACTGGACCTGGAATAGTCAGATCAGATTCACAAATTCCCAGTAGCTGTTAGTTTTCTTGAGTTTTCTGCCAATAAGTTGACATGACTCCCTTTTATAACTGCGTTCTCAGTTTTTTCAATATTAAGGGGAATTTGTCAGACGACAACTGTAACCCCTCAGCACACAGAGAGACCTTCAACTTCTGAGGGTCCTTCTACAAAGACAACCAAAATACAAACAAAAGGTACTGTGGGAATTTTATTATTTTGTCCAAATGTGTATAGCAGCTAAAACTTATTTCACATATAAATCTATAGATAAGTTAATACTATATTTACTCATGAATATATACTCAAATGAATGATGTTCATTTATATGTGCATCATATATACATAGATACATATGTGCATTTATAAATTTATATAAAATCTTAAGTGTAAATATAACCCCAAAATTTTAAATGCATTTAACATCACCTTGCACTCTAAATCAATGGCATAAACCAGTGTGAAGCAGACGCTTATCTTCTGCGAGTCACAGAAGCTTCCCCTGATATAGACAGGAATGGGTGAACCACCCTCTCGTACTTTCTCTCACAATTCCTTGATGTAGTAATTCTTGAGTGTCTCATGATTGAGAGTAAAATTCAAGCAAAGTGCCAGAATTCCTGGTCTGGATCTGAATGGCTAGGGTCCTAGGAATGGTCACGTTACACACTGGACTTGGAGAGTAAGAACGTGGGAAAGATATCAGTAACGGTTAAGAAAATGGCAGCTTTGAAAGTCTGTAAGGGTGCTTTGTCATTTGAAGATGGTCTTTCCCAGGACACATGCTCTTTTCAGGTGGTGCCACTGCCTAATGTCCAAGCTGTTCCTCACAGTGGCTATACTTTAATGTCTGCCTCACTTGTTTTCCCAGTAGTGGCAAAATATTGTAAATAAAACAACCTAAAAAAGGAGTGGTTTGTTTGTCAATGAAATTTAAGCTTACAGACCATAAACAAGGTAAAGCTATCCACAGAGGCAGATATTTGTGACAGTGTCAAACTTCAATCTAGTTCAAAACAAACAAAAAACAGAAGAATAAATGCCTGTTTTCAGCTCACTTTCTTCTTTTTTTATATACTCTTGATCCTTTCCTAAGCAATAATGCCATGCAGAGTATACTTAGCTTCCCACCTCAGCTAAACTAAATGCTGTAATCTAATACTTGCATGTCCAGTTTCTGAATATCGTCTACTTGACA